CTTAGGTGTTACACTTCAACAAACACGTCATTTAGTTTAACCTACCACAAAAACTGAAACAATAGATTTCAGGGTAGACTTATACAATGAATTTGCATCCTACAAATGTCAAAGTTGTATTTACTGAAAAACTACAGGCATACTAAAATGCAACTCTATTTACTACTGTAATCAATTCATTTGTGATTATACACATTGTTTCCTGGCTAAGTTTTGTATGAAACTGCCTTGATTCCTTATAACACCAACAGGGAGCAAAGTGTCTGTACTAATCTGTAACCACAGCAACAAATCTTTATTAATACACCAAGGACCATTTGCATAGGTGAAGGAGGGGTGATGGAATCTAGAGTTATTACTAACCACTATTCTATAAATGTGTTCTATTTTGAGATGTCACAAAACTACCAGAGCACTTGAGGAACCTTATTAAATCATATTAAGATTATCTTGATGTTGAATTGCTCCAAAGGTTGATTTTAAAGATTTCTATTTTTTATTTTTTTTACAGGTACCAATGAATGTCTGGAATATTTGTGTCAGATATTGGTGATGCATACAAACCTCTTTATAAAATATGTGCTGGTTTCAATATTTTATAGATACTATTTTAGCAGGTTACATATTGTTATCACCATAGGCCAATATATGACCATATATTAATAGAACTTTTCAGCTTCAGGTTTTAAGTCTGTATTTTATAACGGATAACGGATAAGTCTGGATAACGAATCACAGATTTCCAGTGGCTGTTTCAAAATCTTTGAAAATACCAGATTATTGTCTACGTATATCAAGCAATGTTCCATTGAAGGCCATGTACTATTAAATGCACGAATATTTCAAAGATCCTTGGTACATTAGCAGACAAAGCAGCATGAAACAGAGTTGAAACATTTCTTCATCTGTGGTAAAAATGGTTTTAGGATGAGCTTCGTTCTCTTTGTTGATTATAATCTTTACATCTTATTACTGGTATTCTTTACCACACTCACTCAGCTGTCAACACTGAGCAGAGTGGACGCTCACTTATGATGAATAAAGAATGTCATCGTGCTTAAGACTTGAAGAAATCTGACGGAATTTTTGTGGTCAGGCATTTAAACTGTTTTATATATACATTATTACATTTTGAATATTCGTGCACTACGATAGATTGTTTTTGTAGCTCAGTTGCAGTGATATTTAGCGTTGTATTTGTATCCTTAAGCAATCACTATTTTTACGATTATTTCCCTATTTACTACTTGTTTTGAAAATGGTAGAGGATTTATCATAATCGTAAATACCGATGGCGAAAATAAGCGATTTTGATAAAGTGTATGGAATTTTTTAAAGTGACTTTAGCCATATCAAGTTGAACTGATGAATCCGCAAGTTAAAATAAGGTCTGAAACAGAAAACGATGAACAGCAATCACCCAGCACGTGGTAAGAATATTGCTTATGACTTCTGTTGAATCGGGCTCGAATGTAACTACTAATAGGGTTTGTAATTATATCAGCCCTATACAGATTTGTGTCACGACTCATTGCACAGATAATTCCCTTCGATATTTCAAGAAATACTAAAATAACTTTAACAAAACAAGTCCCTAAAACAAATATAAATTTACGCACCCGAATTGGCTACGTTTTCGAGACAATATAAAAGTGCTTAAAGCACTTTAACATGATATTGAACATTACACTATCTTACACGCGACTCTCACATAACAGACATCTCGAAATAACATTCTAAAACAGCCTGTACCAGTGCTAGCAATAAACGTCACAAAATCTACATCAAATGATTTGTGGGAGTGAAATGTGAAGTTGGTCTTAAATTGAAAACATAGAGCATCACTTCTGTGTTATGAGAAACGAGAAAGCAACGTTTTAAGAAGCTATTATATTAATACGAATAACAAAGGGAGTTAGGCATAAGTTATAGGGCAATAGAGAAGCCGCTGGAAGCATTGTAGACTTTTTCACAAGCAAAATAGCCTGGTTAAATCTGTTGATAAAACAGTATCAGAACTCACTTTAATTACCTACCTTTGCTCACAAATGTCTTTATGGAAAAACAGCACAACCTTCCTGTCTGGACCAATTAGAATTTAACTAGGCTCAGCAGACCACTCTATTCCTATTTAGCTTCAACAGAAGAACAAACAGATTACAAGAGAAAAAGGAGCTAATCTGTTTTTTTAAGACAGCCTGTCTGTATGATGTCTGGATATCAATATACCTAACCTTTTTTAACCCGCATACTGTGAGGATATCTGAGGGAGAGTTTACTATGAGCTTCATGAATAGTTAGTGACAAAACACAGCCAGGGGAACAAACTATTAGAAGACTTCAAATTAAGGAAACTAGTTTCGACACTTTAGTTCTGGCAAGAAAATGGTTAACAATATTCACGTGACCCCGGAACTATGAATTACCTTTAACGTGAAACTAAAGAGTACACACAAATGTGTCGAAACTATTTTCTTTATTTCCAATTCCTAATTATAGTTTGTTCCATTTACTGTGGATTTCTTAATAATTTTCAACTGTTTATTATTATTACTTCACGGATATTTGTCTTATGTCTGAGTACAGCTGACACTCTGCCAAAGATCCATTACTGGATACTGTACACCAGTACATGTGATTCTTTATGCTTGAAGATCTATTCAAGATAATTTCACATTGTTTTCGTCTCTTTAGGCTATGATTTTTTCCCAATTCCCATAGAACATAGCAAACACTTATTACACTAAAATGTCATTCTGCATATAATGAATAAATATGATAGAAACAACCCAGCAGTTGCGTAACCAGAGTAAAAAAAAAATGTGGTCATCATTAATTTTTAGTCCCAAAAGCGTTTGTGACAAGTGTCAGGGACAGAGAAATCATTTTAGTATTTAGTAGAATTATGATTCTGCTTTATGTATGACTTGCTTACCTTTTTTTGTTTAGTTTCCAATTAAACTCAAGTGATACTGCTTTGTGTATTCATTTAGCACCTAACAGTTGGCTAGTTTTAGTTTTAGTTAAAAGAAAATTAATACGTAATTTTATGGCATGTATGGATTGTTGGGTAAACTATTTCATGACACCCACTTTGTAATAATAATTACCAAATTGTTGAATATAAAATACAGACTTTGTAAGACTTTCAAACGGTAAAATTTGATTACTTACACAAAAATATTGCTTTGTTTCATTCGTCTTATGTCACAAATACCTCTTAAAAGACAAAACCTCTGCGAGCAGATATAGCTCAAAAAATGGCTCTACAACAGTATAGCAAGTGTGATTAAATTATAATGTATCAGGTGTCCTAGACGCAATTACTAAGACACCATTCGCAATTATAGTTAACAAGCCTTTTGTAGAATCCATTGATATAGGCAATAGTAACACTTCGTTTGCAATGTATTAAACTCCAACTCTTAGGTTGTTTGTTTGTAATTAAGCACAAACCTACACAATGGACTATCTGTGCTCTGCCCACCATGGGTATCGAAACCCAGATTCTAGCGTTGTAAGTCCGCAGACATACCGCTGTGCCAACTCTAAGGAGAAAAATTGACAGTGTAAACTTTTTACAATGTACTTTTTAGCTTGTACCTAGGCAAATTTATAATAAGGCATGTGTCAGTACATACTTGTTACAAGCACACATGTATTACTCTCTTTTCAACAGAAAGTGACAAAAATGAGTCATACGTAGACCATACTTATAAATAATGCGCAAGTGAATGCTTTTCCTTACCGGCAGCCATCTGCAAAAATATGCAGGATTTTTTTTTGCTTTTTGTGCTTTGCTAAATATGTCAAATTATAGCTAGAAAAAATTCTCTCCCTAAAAATGTTGATGCCCAGGCGCCAGGAACCCAGCCTGTCTACGCCCATGCAACCCAGTAACTTATTTTTGATTAATTTAGCTTTCATAATTTTAAGAAAATCCTCATAGCTTGAAAAACATTTAAGTATATTTTTCTTAAGAATACGCAGAAATGATATTTGTATTCAATACAAACTACTTTTAGCTACATGTCAAAAAACAGACTGGTAGGATCAAACGTTTATTAGCTCAACCCTAATAATTATTAACCTTATATTATTAACCTTAATAACCAACCATAGTTAATTTGTAATAAAAAATAATCGTAGAAAAACTTTAATAACTGATCACTTTATTTAAAGTCATAAATAATCAGATGAAATTGGCATTTGCTTGAAACGTTAGTGCAATATATCAATGATATTTGTACGATAATTAACATGAACGATTTGTTTATATCAGAACGATGACAAGAAATGGCGAAAATGGCCTTTAGTAATATATTCGATAGTTTATTAGTTAAAAATATTAAAAACTTTGATGCCGTTATGGTGCTTAAATCCCATTATATGGTCAGACTAGAGATGTTTAAGAGTTATCGATTGATGATGTTGACTTGCTTCTGTTCATCTACACTACCAGTTCAAAATTGGAAAAAAAGTTATTCGCGAATATTTATTACGTAGCATAAATGCCTGAAAACAAGGAATCAAACACTATTTCGTTGATTCACCAGAAAGTTGAACAAAAGTTAAATAATTCTATAGATAAACGAATGATTAATTTCATTGTGATTGTGTTTTGATTTCAAAATCAACATAATCAACATAATGTTGGATAATAAATTAAAAAAGTTAGTTTTGGAAAATATCACTTTCTTTTTCTTGTCACTATCTGCTGGCAAGATTTATGAGAAACGTGGAATTATTTCTAAGAATTAGTTTCTATTTATCTATGTGAAACTTCACTGTCCGCAAGAAGTGTACAGGTAGATTTATCTATATGAAACTTCACTGTCCGCAAGAAGTGTACAGGTAGATTTATCTATATGAAATACTTACTCGCATCTTACTGTTTGCAACATTCAATCAAATTTTACTAACTCAATATTTAGCTGAGTTTTATTGTCTTCCGGATTTTTCTTCTGAAACATTTATTAATGTCTATTTTATTAAATTCTTTAAATACGTAAAAAGCTGGGAAAAAAAGGTAACTTTCAAATATTTTCTCTCAATAGAAGCCACCTACGAATCGCGTTATGTAAGTTAAGTAAAATTATATATGTTTTATATCTTTCATACAAACCTACAAGGACATGAGAATAAATTTGGCAAGATGAACAATGTTATTCATAATAATAAAATGTAGTTTCTTAAGAATAAAGTTTGAAAAACAGTCTCAGTGCTTTAAGTTATAGTTAAAGATTATATCAATTAAAGTAACTTATTTAGACCATTAAGATCTTAGAATCAGGTTAAAAAAGATACTTTTTTAATATAGGAAAAAATTAGAAGTTCATCAATCACTTAACAAAGAAGACTTCATCATGGTTTGCTTGTTCTGTTTCTACCATCAGTCGACTCCAACTGAAGCTGATTTTTCCAAGCCCGTTCCCTTGGCTGTGGTTTCGCTAGATAGTAGATAGGTACAGTGGGAATCTCATTAATCCTTTCATGCGTGTGCTCATATACTCGTAACTTCATGAAAAGTTATATACATATTCTTCCTTGGGTTCAGAGACAGAGTTTGACATAAATAGACAGGCAAAAAAAAAGAGAAAAAAAAAGAGAGTTGGATTGGAAATAATGTTGAAGACAGAAGTTGTAATGTTTTTAAGTTTTTGTTATATCTTAAGTCACTTTAGATATTTTTTTACCAATCCAAGGTCAATTTGATGTTAAATGAAAAGAAAAAATACGTTGTTGAACGGTTACTTTAATAATACACATTTCGTATTTTTCATATCTTTATTGGGTGAAAAGGACATTTATATAACACTCCATAAGCTCAAGAATAATACAATAAACTTAAAGAAGTTTTTACAGAGAAACTGCGAGAAAACTACATTTAAAGGAACTTTGAGAATAATGCAAACCTTTTCATGTATGTACATCAGCACAAGCCTGCCGTGGTAAGCAGGATACAATTGGTTGCACATGGAAACATAGAAAATTAGACATGAAAAGCAATGAGAATATTAGAAGAGCTCATTAGGTTTCAACCAACCAGAGCTGTGCAATTACAATTTGGAAATACTTAATGTACACGTTATTTAATATTATTTTGTCTAATTTGATATCACTACATCAGGAATATTGTGTATTGAATCTATAGTTACTTAGAGAGATTTTTGTTTGAAGTTAAGCACAAAGTTACACAATGGGCTATCTGTGCTCTGCCAACCATGGGTATCGAAATCCATAGACATATCGCTGGCCACTGGAGGGCTACTCAGACAGAAAAAAGGATATTAAGGACAACTGTTGATAGATTGAAAAGTATTTTCGATTTTCAAAAACCGGCTAACAATGGCGGTGATTCCGTCAATTTATCGTATGCATGAAGTATTGTTGAGTGAAAGGAATGTAACAATAACGACAGAATGCTATGGTAATTATGAAAAACATCGCACATCATTGTTTCACACTTGTGATATATTTTGTAACCTATAAAGGATTACACATATATAAATATGGCCATGCACATCAAATGCAAAAGTGTGAACGTACTGCCATTAATCACTTGTTTTCACATGACGTCACGAATTTGTGCCCTTGTGCCTTTCCGCCATCTTGTGGGTCAAACAACAAGCCTTAGTTCTCATTGAATCTTCTAGCATATTTGATAAGTGTTCAGTAACACAAAAGTAATCACCTTAGATAATATAAAAATAGGGTTAACACTTGAGTAGTTTATAGCTGTCATAATAGAGCAGATGACATCCTCAAGCGAGGTTTTTATACAATACAATTCCGATTATTAGGTTAAATGTAGGAAAGCAAACCAAGGATCTCAGCCGATGCGAGGCCTGGATAAAACTATCTTCATAAAAAAACCTTAGATGTATAGTAAGGTATGCAGGAGTAATCTTGGAACAAATGAAAATCCATGTTCATATATATATAAATTTGTAATTAAACAGGGTATCTAGAAAAATTACGGTGACATGAAAGTTGAAACGTTGCGTATGAGTACGAGCTGATTAATTAAAGAACTAAATACAAGTTTTTGTTATGGTAATATAAGCATTGTAACTTCCTATGTGAGTAGAAAAATAGTCGTTAGTGCTGCAAATATTTATTTTTTACTTTCACGGAAGCCAGTAAGTTTATTCGACACAGACTGGGTACTTTCGCTTAAACTAACAGATACATTACCCAATGGGGAAAGGACACAATCTAGGTTAACAAACTAACAGAGACGTTACACAATGAGAAAGGACACAATCTAGGTTAACAAACTAACAGATACATTACCCAATGGGGAAAGGACACAATCTAGGTTAACAAACTAACAGCTACATTACTCAATGGGGAAAGGACACAATCTAGGCTAACAAACTAACAGATACATTACTCAATGGGGAAAGGACACAATCTAGGTTAACAAACTAACAGAGCTGTTACCTAATGGAGAAAGGACACAATCTAGGTTAACAAACTAACAGAGACGTTACCCAATGGAGAAAGGACACAATCTAGACTAATAAACTAACAGAGACGTTACCCAATTGAGAAATGACACAATTTATATTAACAAACAGAGACGTTACACAATGGGGAAATGACACAATTTATATTAACAAACTAATAGAGACGTTACACAATGGGAAAGGACACAATCTAGGTTAACAAACTAACAGAGACGTTACACAATGAGGAAGGGACACAATCTAGGTTAACAAACTAACAGAGACGTTACACAATGGGGAAAGGACACAATTTATATTAAAAAACTAACAGAGACGTTACCCAATGAGAAAGGGACACAATTTATATTAACAAACTAACAGAGACGTTACACAATGGGGAAAGAATACAATTTATATTAACAAACTAACATAGACGTTACACAATGAGAAAGGGACACAATCTAGGTTAACAAGAGACATTATCAAATACAGAAAGAGCACGATCTAGGTTAGCCCTCCAGTGGCACAGCGGTATGTCTGCGGACTTACAACGCTAGAATCTGGGTTTCGATATCCGTGGTGGGCAAAGCACAGATAGCCCATTGTGTAGCTTTGTGCTTAACTTCAAACAAACAAACAAATAATCTTGGTTAACAAAATTTCCACCTATCACCAAGCCTCTTTTCTAATTAATATGTATCTGTATGAAAGTCTTATGAATCATTTTTGAGTTAATATACTTCATCGTTTATGGAGAGATGTGTAAATTTCATACTTTATTATTTTAAACTAAGTGGATTTAATTAATTTGAACTGTTTCAAGTACCAGAGGGCTGATGACTGACGAACAAAGAAAAACCAGCATCAAGTAATTGAGGCCTTTATTAGTTTATGAAAGATAACCAACCCGATGAAGACTCTAGCCAGCAAATTCAAATTTAGATTAAAAAAATGAAATGTACCAGCATTATTTAATATAACAAGTGATATGAGAAATGTTCATGATTAAAGTTTAAAATTAGGTTGGTGAGTAAATTATTAGATAATACTGAGAAGTTGTTTTGTGAGCAACACATGTAAGCAGTGGTTCAATTGTTCTGGTAATCTTATTATATGGTGTCATACTGTAAAGCTCCTGTTGAGATGAATGAAAGGTTTAATTACCAGTTGTCTTGTTGGCCTCATTAGGAGACCTTGATTATAAAAACTGCTACATTAATTATGATAAAATTTTAAAATCAAATCTTTATACTTATTAAGTATACAATTGTATTGACAAGATCTATACATGAATTTTGATAGAACTGTATTGCTCATAATAAATGTTTATATTCATAAATCATAATATATACTAAATATCAAATTATTAGTTATCAAATCAGTAATTTGATTCTGCAAATTAGACAGATGAACAAAATACAATTGTACTTGGATCACTCAATCAATTGATTTACATCGGTACTTCATTATTTTAAATATATCATATCATTTAGATATATTTACATCTAGAAAACACACTGGAAATAATTGCATATATTAATGCATGTTAAATTAATCTAACCACAATTAGAAATAAAGAATTAGATACTGAAACTGTTAAACGCTTATTTAAACAAACATATATTTACTTGTCGCTTTGAACTTGACTCACAAGATGCTGGTGGCTTGGGAAAACCCTGGATGTTATGACGTCATTGAAAACTTTTAGCTTCCAAACCCTAAAATACGTCTTCATAAAACCAAATGCCTGCAATATTAAGAGTAAGTTATAGTTATTCATTAATTATTGCTCGTAAGATAAATGAAACGATAAAGGTTACTTCCAATACTCATGTGCTAGTACACATCACGTAAAGGTATCGGTGCGAATTACTATAATTCTATGCTAATATGCATGTATTTACGCCACAAATGAAACAAAAAGAGTATGCCACCGTCAGTCACAAAATATTGTTAACCAGGTGTTGAAGCGATGAGGATTACTATCAACAATTACGGTCATTGTACATCAAGTTAATGTAACAATAAGAACACATCACTTAATAACGAGTTAACGTTATCAGGGTAAATGTAACGATTATTACTCATAATCACATGTTATTGTACACCAGGTGAATTTAACAATAAGAGAAGCTTGCCGTTTATCATCAGCTATTGTACAACAAATAAAATCACTAACAACGACAAACTTATTGCTAATCACAAGCAATTGCATCTCACGTTTATGTTTAAATGAAAGTAGATTACGGTTAATTACTTGTAATTTTACACCAAGTTAATGTAACAATAAGAACACATCACTTAATAACGAGTTGATGTTATCAGGGTAAATGTAACAATTACGGTTAATTACTTGTTATTTTACACCAAGTTAATGTAACAATAAGAACACATCACTTAATAATGAGTTGATGTTATCAGGGTAAATGTAACAATTACGGTTAATTACTTGTTATTTTACACCAAGTTAGTGTAACAATAAGAACACATCACTTAATAACGAGTTGATGTTATCAGGGTAAATGTAACAA